AGAGCGTGTCTATTTCAGGCAGACAATGCAATTAATTTTATACCAGTCCAGCAGACCTAACAATCATTTGATTAGTTCAACCGCCACCCGCCCGATTTTATGAAAATATTATTTTTCGTCACGTCATCCACGGCTGTGACCGCCAACCTCGCATTTCTAACGTTAATTCGCATTTCCTTTAGCCTGATGGTTATTCCAATTTTGGTTTGAAAGGGTCTTGACATTTTCCAAAAATATAACTTTTTTTGTCATAAAAAACAAGCAAGCCCAGAAAAAGTAATGCAAAAGTAACAATGCATTACTTTTCTTAAAAAGTAACTAAGTAATGCAATTAGTTATTTTTTAAGAGAGTAATGCAACATTGTAATGCTTCTTTTTTTTTTTTCAAAGTAACTTTCCCCAAAACTATATGGCCACTATATATTTCAGTGACTTAAAATTTTAGTTTGCTATACTATATTTATACTAAACTATACTAAAAACTATATTTTTTGGTTTATGTGCATGTTGCTCACATATTACAGTAGCCCTGTTTGTGTTGAATACAGTGTAATCAGACTTAAGCTATTAAGATTTCTTTAAGCAACTGAAAAAAGCACAAACGTCAGGGCACGACAAAACTTCTTCAGGCCCCAAAATACCCTCAGAGCCCAGAGGATTAAAGAGATTATTCTTCTTATAATAACATTGGTAACAGGGTTGATAAATGCAGACAACACTAGTTTGTGTAAAAAGATATTCGTTCTGAAATATAAAGAAATGCTCTGTTTTTGAAAGGAGAAAAATCATGTCAGAAATAACAGGGTTGAGTGAAATGAAAAATGTAGAACACAGATAAGGCTTATAAAAATGTAGTTCATTAACTGGTTAAAGACACTTCAGTGATCATAAGTGGTCACATTTTGCGGATTCTTTAAAGAAAAAAAAACAAATTCAACAGTGACTGATAATGAATCCAAATGTAACTATAAAGTAAGTAAAGTAACTAAAGTTACAGCTGTAGGCGTCCTCCAACCCGATCTCACGGCAATTCGTTCAAATTTTGCGAGGTGGCTAACTCGTACGATTTTTGCTAAGTACTGTTATCGGAAAAACTCCTAACAAATATCGAGATATATGTATTTGTGCCTAAAATGCCTTGAAAATAATAATTGAAACATCTATGTACCTCATTCATGCATTTAATTTATGAAAACCCACCAGAAGTTGTCTACTAGTACTTTCTGCTATTATAGTATACTTCTCTATTTGAGTTATTTTGATGTACTGAAAATGTAATGAAACCTTTTTCTTTCATTTCAGGCCTAATGGAAGTGAAGGAGGAGAGTGAAGAACTGAGTGAAGTGAAGGAGAAACATGTCAAACCTGGAGAAAAACCTTTGAGACGCTCAAAGACTAAAAAGACATTTTTAAAGCAAGGAAGAGCCAAGAAATCTTACACAGCCAAACATAATCTTAAAAGTCATAAGAGAGTTGATACTGGAGAGAAGCGATTCTCATGTGATCAATGTGGGAGGAGTTTCAGACAAAAATCACATCTGAACAAACACACAAGGATCCACACTGGAGAGAAACCATACACATGTGATCAGTGTGGGAAGAGTTTCAGGCAATCAACATGCCTTAACAGACACATGAGAATCCACACTGGAGAAAAGCCACATATGTGTGTTCAGTGTGGGAAACGTTTCACATACAAACATAATCTTCATGTTCATGTGAGAGTTCATACTAGAAAGAAGACGTTTGATGGATCAACAAACCTGAAGAAACACCTGACAGTTCATACGAAGGAGAAGCCGCATTCATGTTCTGTGTGTGGAAAGAGTTTTTCACTGCTGCAATATTTACATAAACATGAGAAAATACATACTGGTGTGAGAGAGTACATGTGTTTCGAGTGTAGGAAGACTTTCATTTCAGCGTGCCGTTTAAGACAACACCAGAGAATACACACTGGAGAAAAACCTTACAAGTGTTCACACTGCGACAGGAGATTCAGTCAGACATCAAATCTGAAAACACATAAGAGGATCCACACTGGAGAAAAACCTTACAAGTGTTCAATCTGCGACAAGAGATTCAATCGATCAACAACTCTGAAAACACATGAGATGATCCACACTGGGAAGAGGCGGGATTCAGGTGTGAATCAAAGCATTATTCATGATGTTTCTCGCCCACCCGCATACAGCCATTCTTACATTAAGGGCCCTACTTTAACTATCTAAGCACATAATCTAGCGCAAAAGGTCTATAAACAACAAAAAAATACTGTGTCATTTACTTTAGACCAGGTTTTTGTTGGTCTATTTCGGTTTGCTCAAAATAGCAATGTGCCAACAGTGCGCCTGAACACACTCCTCGTTTTCAACACATACCCATGGGTGAACAAATGGGGGAAAATGCTTTTGCTATTTAAATAACGTTGAGCAGGACGTGAAAATTATAAATTATAACTCGTGGCCTCAAGATAGTAACTCGCGGCCTCAAGGTAGAAACTCGCGGCCTCAAGGTAGTAACTCGTGGCCTCAAGGTAGTAACTCGCGGCCTCAAGATAGTAACTCGCGGCCTCAAGATAGTAACTCGTGGCCTCAAGGTAGTAACTCGCGGCCTCAAGATAATAACTCGCGGCCTCAAGGTAGTAACTCGCGGCCTCAAGGTAGTAACTCGCGGCCTCAAGGTAGTAACTCGTGGCCTCAAGGTAGTAACTCGCGGCCTCAAGATAGTAACTCGTGGCCTCAAGGTAGTAACTCGCGGCCTCAAGGTAGTAACTCGCGGCCTCAAGATAGTAACTCGTGGCCTCAAGGTAGTAACTCGCGGCCTCAAGGTAGTAATTCGCGGCCTCAAGATAGTAACTCGTGGCCTCAAGATAGTAACTCGTGGCCTCAAGATAGTAACTCGCGGCCTCAAGATAGTAACTCGTGGCCTCAAGATTGTAACACGTGGCCTCAAGATAGTTACTCGTGGCCTCAAGGTAGAAACTCGTGGCCTCAAGATAGTAACTCGTGGCTTCAAGATAGTAACTCGCGGCCTCAAGATAGTAACTCGTGGCCTCAAGATAGTAACTCGTGGCTTCAAGATAGTAACTCGCGGCCTCAAGATAGTAACTCGTGGCCTCAAGATAGAAACTCGTGGCCTCAAGATAGTAACTCGTGGCCTCAAGGTAGTAACTCGCGGCCTCAAAGTAGTAACTCGTGGACTCGCGGCCTCAAGGTAGTAACTCGTGGCCTCAAGATAGAAACTCGTGGCCTCAAGATAGAAACTCGTGGCCTCAAGATAGTAACTCGTGGCCTCAAGATAGTAACTCGCGGCCTCAAGGTAGTAACTCGCGGCCTCAAGATAGAAACTCGCGGCCTCAAGATAGAAACTCGTGGCCTCAAGATAGTAACTCGTGGTCTCAAGATAGAAACTCATGGTCTCAAGATAGTAACCCGTGGCCTCAAGATTGTAACACGTGGCCTCAAGATAGTTACTCGTGGCCTCAAGATAGTTACTTGTGGCCTCAAGATAGTAACTCGTGGCCTCAAGATAGTAACTCGTGGCCTCAAGATAGTAACTCATGGCCTCTATCAATATCTTGAGGCCACGAGTTACTATAACAGACAGATGAACAAATAGAAAAGGTGATTTGGTGGTGTTGGTTGTGTTTTAACATAATCATTAATTGACCTTAATTGCTGAACTTATCAAGAGCATAAATCCTGAGTTAAATTTACCTAATGGATTTTAACAGCATGGTCATTTTAGAACATACCATTTTTAGCCTTTTCAATGAAATCTATACAATCGAATAAAAAAAACTATGTAGGCACACACAGACATCAATAATTAGCGTATAAATCTCAGCAATGGTGACAAAAAGCTCACCTCGGAACATAAGCTCATTATTTATTCATGCACCAATGCCTGATGGGAGCCATGAATGAGTTTTGATTGGTGGCACCCAGAATGCACTGCAACATGCTTTATTATTGTCACCATTGTTGAGATCCACAGGCCAATTATTGATGGCTGTCTTATTTTTTATTAATTGAGTAAGAGAAACTTTTAAGAAATTACTTTGAATACATTGTAAACATTACAAATAGTATGCAGTACAAGGTCACTGCTGCTATGATTAATAAAGTAAACCTAACTCAGAAATTAGGCTCTATATGAGTTCAGTGATTCAGGTTAAAAAATTGTGAAATAATGATTAAGTTAAAACACAACCATCACCATCAGATCACGTTTTGTATTTGTTCATCTGGCTGTTATAACTCACATACTGCAGCCAAACAAAATCTAAAGTTAATGATGTAGGGGTCAAAAGCCCAGCTAAAGCAAACACTGATCACAATAATGGTGACATAAAATTCCGGTTTTCTCCTTCAGAGATTCTGCTTGTTAACATCAGGTGTCTTCAATAATGCTCAATCATCACTCAATTATTCACTTAATTATCTCATTAACTTTAACACTTCTTCAGTGTTCATTTAACACGCTCAGAGTTTATAAAAATCACAATTTTAAGTGTTAATTTAACACCAGAGATGTTGCTGAATCGCACATATTTTACGAGTTGCCCAATTCCTATGAATTTGAACGAATGACGCACCCCTGACTCCAACCCTAAACCTACCCATCCCTGGGGTTTAGACAAATCCTACGAATTTGAATGAATTGGTCGGGTTCCGCTGTACATGGGCCTTTAGGGTGTCTATTAAAACTCAATGGGACAGAGGAGGAGCCAACGCTAACCATTATCATATGCGGGTTTTTTTGTCGACGTGCTTTAAACAGCAATATTGTATAAATGTTAATGTTACATTATATAATTGTGTCATAAAATCATATGTACCAGAATTATGATATTTTATAGCAGTTGTCTACTAGTAATTTCTGGTATTACATCAGGGCTCACTTTCATACTTCTCTCTCTCTGAATTATTTTGCTGAAAATTAAATTAAACCATTTTCTTTCATTTCAGACCAGGTGGAAGTGAAGGAGGAGAGTGAAGAACTGAGTGAAGTGAAGGAGGAGAGAGAAGAACTGTGTGAAATGGAGGAGGAGAGAGAAGAACTAAGTGAAGTGAAGGAGGAACATCATGTCCAACATGGAGAAAAACCTTTGAGTCGCTCAAAGACTAAAAATACATTTTTAAAGAAAAGAAGAGCCAATAAATCTTTCACCTGCACTCAGTGTGGAACGAGTCTCGCATCCAAACAAAGTCTTAAGATTCACATGAGGATCCACACCGGAGAGAAGCCGTTCACATGTGATCAGTGTGGAAAGAGTTTCACAACCAAACAAAGTCTTGATGTTCACATGAGAGTTCACTCCGGAGAGAAGCCGTTCACATGTGATCAATGTGGAAAGACATTTATCAGGGCATCAAGCCTGAAGTCACACCTGACAGTTCATTCGAAAGAGAAGCCGCATTCATGTTCTGTGTGTGGAAAGAGTTTTTCACTGCTGACATATTTACATGCACATCAAAAAACTCATACTGGTGTGAGAGAGTACATGTGCTTTGAGTGTGAGAAGACTTTCATTTCAGTTTGCCGTTTAAGACAACACCAGAGAATACACACTGGAGAAAAACCTTACAAGTGTTCACAATGTGACAAGAGATTCAGTCAGACAGCAAATCTGAAAACACATAAGAGGATCCACACTGGAGAAAAACCTTACAAGTGTTCACACTGTGACAAGAGATTTAGTGTGTCATCTTCTCTGAAAACACATGAGAGGATCCACACTGGAGAAAAACCTTACAAATGTTCACACTGTGACAAGAGATTCAGTCTGTTATCTTCTCTGAAAACACACAAGATGATACACACTTGACAGAAAGAGTTTCACACGATCAGTAACCCTTACTGCTCACATGAGGATCCACACTGGAGAAAAGCCCCACACACAAATCATCTCTTAGTTCACACTGAGAAGAAGCGGTCTAGGCTTTCTCTCTGAAATCACTTCTGCTTCTCATTCTGAAGAAAGATCAGTACAGCAGAAAAGACACGGCGGTGTGTGTTTCAGTGCATGAAGTCCTTCAGTACAGAAGATGAACTGAAAGAGTACCAAAAAATTCACATTAGAGAAGAATGCCGTAACACTTTTAATAGAGACGTGAATCTGGTATTACTTTTTAACCCATGTAGTTTCTCTTCCACTTCTTTTCCATACAAACACAAGATATACTTTTTAAGTATCTATGAAACTGGACACTGTTCTTCTCTTCTTCTCTTGAAATGCTTTGGCTTTTCTAAGGCCGTGTGTCCACCAACGCGTTTTTCCTCGCGCCTGGCGTATGTTTTCAATTGTTTTCAATGGGAGCGCCGCGGTTTTTAAACGCCATGAGCGTACCGAGGCGCTGAGCATTTTTTTCCACGCTGAAGCGCCGAGCGCCCAGCGATTTTACTGGTCGCTGGGAGTTGAAAAATGTTCAACTTTGGATAAAACGCAGCGCTCATCACTGTCACTTTTTACCCTGCCGTCCAATCACAGTGGAGGAGGGGCGGGACTAATACCACACCGACCAACTGTCACAACATTCAAACTTCTGCGGATATTCTGTATCATAGCAACGAAACGTCTCAACGGAAAAAACGCTACGCTTTCAAGCGCCCAAAGCACGGCATCTTCAGCAGAGTGTCTAGCGTTCTCAGCTGGCTAAAAAGGCTTTGGTGGACACACGGCCTAAGTCAGAGAGAGAGAGATCTTTCTCTTTTACTCAATGTTTATATTAGCTTCATGTCATTTTTTAATCCTTACTCATTTTATCAAAAATGTATTGTTCTTTTTTATTTTCTGCTGATTCTGCTTGGATCAAGAGTTGTATTTCTAAAAGCCATGAAGCATTGTTTGCTTATTGCACTATCCATGTTTTAATTTTCTCAATAGAGCTTTTAAACGCCTTAGTAAATTATATTTCACCACACACACGACTGACGTTGAATGAGATTGCTGTCTGTCTACATTATAAACAGTTTCACCCTTGATTTCCAGTATCAAATAAACATTTCAAAGTTTGTTTTATTGACAAGTTTCCTGAGTGAAATAGGCGGGCCGCCATTAGCCTTTCACTCTGCCAACAACTTCCGGTTGTGTCTGCCAAGCACTTCTGGTTAGCGAGTTAGCGTCTTTTACTGTCTTTGGTTAGCGTGCAGAAAAAGTAAACTATGGATGGTGTTACACGCCGACACGGCTCCGGGATTATTTCCATTTTTGGTGTGCTATCAACACGCATAATCGCTTTTCAGCATGTTTATCAACGCTGTTGACTTAACGTTACATTACTGTATATATAAATATATGACTTACCTCGAACCCCGTCCCTAAACCTACCCGTCACTGGGGTTAATGGCATTTATGAGTCTTCCCCTACCATCCTAAGAAAAAAATATCGCTCCCCAGATGTAGATCTACATTTTACTTCGTTTCGCGCGGACATTTAACGGCGTAGACATACACGCTGAATCACTCGGACATTTAACGGCGTAGACATACACGCGGATAGCTCAAAATGCGTATAGATAACACGTCACTTGATTCGAAAGTGGCATGTATGTTTACGCAAAAGTCATGATGTCATTTTGGAAGGAGAATGTTTCAACCAACCATCTACATGGCGCCAATGCGGATGTGCTCCCCCGTATGCGTTGTATGAGAAACCAAAGCCAGATGTTGAGTCTCAGAAGTGGCTAGTGGCTTTGAAGTTGAAGAATCCACCCAAAAGACTGTTTGTTTGTTCTTATCACTTCATTGATAAAAAGCCCACTGAGGAAAACCCTTTCCCAGAACTTTGGTTGGGATACGAGCGACCTCCCCAGCAAAAGAGACGTAAACGCGACAGAAACACAAGTGACACGCAATCGGATGGTAAGTGTATATTGAAATTTTTCTGGTTAGCCAAATTTTTGCTGCACAAATTTGAATGTTGATATATGTGTCTCTGTCCTGTGTTAGTAGGGTATATACATTTATAGTTGATGCTGTTTGTCTTTTAGAAGTGTGCATCGAGCTGAAGTTTAAAGATGCTGCAACACAATGGGAGGACCTAACAAAAACTGACCACATCTACGCGGCAAAGTTGGAGTTCAGACTGTGGCTGATGATATGCTCCTGGATGATGATACCACGCTGTTGTACACAGGACTGCGTCTATTATATATTTGTTTTACTTTATTGAAAACGATGTTGCCATTTAGTAAATCATCATGTATCATCATATCAGTTTCTCTGTTTATCCCGAGGGACCCTCTATGGTGGACCTGCGCCTGAACCCATCCCGACTCATCCTTAAGTGCCGGCCTCATCGACACGACAACCATCGGCACTGATCCTCAATATCTCGTCTCCAAACCGGCGTGATTACTTCGACTTCCAATCAGATGGAAATGGACAATTCTCTTAATGTTTTGATCCAATTTGTTTTGTAATCACTGTTCTTTCGTTGGCCAGAGGAGAACTGGCCCCCCGACTTAGCCTGGGTTCTCCCAAGGTTTGTTTCTCCATTCAATCACCTGATGGAGAGCTATCCAGAGAGCTACAAACCTTAACTGTAGGAGTTCCACTTTCAGTCATTACAAGGGAACCAATACTGCACGGTCACTGCTGACCCCTAGTGGTCTTGAACACATGTTCAGTTAAGTGTTGTTATTTTATATCCAAGTAAAGTTGGGATGTCATCATGGATCTGTATACAGTGGGTTGAGGAGAACAGACACTGAGGACACTGATATGCTCTATTCAAGGGCATAATTAATGACATTAGAAACATCTCATACTGAAGTGCTGACTGAGATCGTTCAACAGTGTATAGGATTCAGATGATAGGATTAGAAGAGCATTGCTGCTGGGTACCAGCTCATGTAGGAGAAAAGGGAATGAGATCGCACAATTAAGCAACAAATAAAGCTGATATAGACATTAAGGTAAAACATAGTGAGACTGAGATGAAATGTTTAATTAAACAACATGTGAGGAATAGATGGCGGGGGAGGAAGAAAGAACAGGAAGAGGGTTTCATAAGATTCAAAGAGTCGTAAATAAAGGCAGAATAACAGGGAGAAATAGAGATGATAATGTCAAGACTTAGATTTGGGCATACTGAACTTAGTAGCCTACGTTGAAGACAATAGGGAGACATGAGACAGGAAAGTGTGAATATTGTAATCAAAAGGATTCTGTAGAGCATGTTATATTAATATGTCCTACATATAGTAATGAAAGAAATATATGAAGATAGTCACATTTAAGAAATTTCTTCACACTCCTAAGCAGCAGGTGGCGATAATGCGATAAAGGTTGAATGCAGACCGCCATGAACAAGCAAAAAAAGAGGAAAAAAAATCTTCAGGAAACAAGTGGGAGTTCATGGAGTTAAAACCGGTCTATGGTTAAAACCTAAATGCGTATGTCCGTGTGTTTATTAAATTAAAGCAGAGATGTAGCACTGCCTCGTTGTGAATGTACACTGGACTGTTTAACTTTAAACTGAATTCTGCTGCTGGCGGCAGGACTTGGCCAATTTGGGCATTTAGATGTTGACAAGGACGGAACGATGGAAACGTAAAAGTCCGAATCAAACATGTATTGTCACCTTTGGCCACGGGTTTCTCCAAGATTTCTGCTCTGCTTTCTGTTTTTCTTCTTTTGTGGGACTTCTTCACTTCAAACAGGTAAATGATGAACTTTTGCTGAGTTTTCTAGAGAACGAAAGTGAAAAAGTGACTTGTAACGACAGAACTGAAATTTGATTACAAACGTATGCTTTCGATATATGAAATATAAGTATGTACATATTTATAACTAAAGTATTTAAGCTTTGTCAACATAGAACATGCTTGCTAATTTACGGGATTATCAGAATTGTTTTTAGGAGCCTTTAATTTAGTCTAATAATAAAGTCCTACTAGATTAAAGGAGACAGGCTAAATAAACTGAAAAATAGTTTAATTTTATCCAACTGGATCTTGTTTGATCTTGGATTGCTTTCAGATTTGGGATTTACCAATGTGTCCCTCGAGAATTACAGGGCTGCTTTATATTTTATTTTAATCAACTTTCTATTTGTATCTTTATGTGACTAAAAATGTTTTAGAAAGACTATCCAGAGTCGTTTTACTTCTTTTACTTAAATGTACTACGTTTAGAACATTTACACTGAAGTGTAGGGCTGGGCGATATATCACATCACATTGTTATGCGCATCTCATCAGTAAAGCCGGTTCCTTGATTAGTAGTAAATCACCTTCACCTGCTTTCAGATGGAAGATATGATGCAGATATGAGTGTTAAATTAACACTCAAGAGTGTTACAGTTAATGAGGTAATTAAGTGATTAATTTAGTGATAACTGAGCATTATTGAAGACACCTGATGATCACAAGCAGAATCACTGAAGGAGAAAATCACAAATTGTAAGTCACCGTTATGGAGATCAGTGTTTGCTTTAGTTGGCCTCTTGACACTTATACTTTCACTTTAAATTTTGTTTGTCTGCTGTTATTGATTTATAACAGTCAAATGAACAAAGAAAAGTGTGATCTGATAGTGTTGGTTATGTTATGGCATAATCATGCTGTCATCTGAAAAAATACAAAATATAGAGATGATTAGGTTTAACTTCTTAGCCACATCTTTATGAATCTACAGCAGATGATTATCAGTATTTTTCTCATAATCCAGAATAGTTAATAAAATTTATTCTGATCAAATCACTTTAAATTTTTTTTTTTAAATGCAGACATCAATAATCAGCCTGTGAATCCCAACAATGGTGACAATAATAATGCATGTTGCAGTGGCTGCCACCAATCACAACTCATTAATGGCTCCCATCATGCATTGTGGTATGAATAAATTATGATCTTAATTGTCTATGTAATTTACTTTTGCTAATTGAATATTCTGCTCGTCACAATTGTTGAGATGCATTGACTGAATCTTGACGTAACTGTACATAAAATTCTGGATATTTGTGCAGAATCTCAGTTATACTGTAACTAACAGAATAAATCACAAGCATAAAGTTCAAATGATGATTGTCATAATATAACCAACATCATCTGGCAGTTATAACTCAGATACAACAGCCAAACAAAATCTAGAGTTAATAATATAAGGGTCAAGAGCCCAACTAAAGAAAACACTGATCTCCATAACGGTGGCTTACAATTTTAGATTTTCTCCTTCACTGATTTTGCTTTAGGTGTCTTCAATAATGCTCAATCATCACTCATTTAATCACTTAATTATCTCATTAACTTTAACAGTCTTGAGTGTGGACACATATACACTCCCAGGTGTGTTAGTTTAACACTGGAGATTTTGCTGTGTACGAAGAGCTGTAGTTAACTGACAAGCTGAACGATATCGCATTAAATATCGCTGGCGATACGTCCTCAATGGCTCAGCTTGTCAGTGATCTACGGCTCTTTGTAGTAAATGCCGCTCCATCTGAAAGAAGGTGAAAGTGATTTACTACTAATCAAGGAACCAGCTTTACTGACGAGATGCGCATAAAAATGTGATTCGATATATCGCCCAGCCCTACTGAAGTGGACTGTTATTTAATGTATATGTTATTCCTCTTCATTGCAGAGAGACACTCGCTGTATTACATTTACACTGGTTTGTCCAAACCTGTGGATCTGCCGGGCATCTATGAATTCACTGCTATGGGTCTGCTAGACAACACACAGATCGACTATTACAATAGTAAAGACAAGAGAAAGATTCCCACACAGCACTGGATGAAGGAGAAACTGCAGAAAGATTACTGGGGGAAAGGCACTCTGTCGAGAGAGAGCAAAGAACAGTGGTTTAACTTCAATATCAAGATTCTGATGGAGCGCATGAGGCACTATCAATCAGGTGAGGAACACTGAACAAGTTAAATCTGCATTTTTTTTCTTTTATTGTTATCTTACAACCATTTAAATTTGTGTCCATGTCAGATCTTCATGTTCTTCAGTGGAGAACTGGTTGTGAAGTTGAGCAGCAGGGAAGTGACGTGAGGTTTCTCAAAGGTGTTTTTGAGTACAGCTATGATGGAGAAAACTTCCTGTCTTTTGATGATAGAGAGTCTCAATGGGTCGCTTCAGTTTACGCAGCTCTACCAACCAAGAGAAAATGGGACAGTGTGCCGATCCTAAACCAATACACCAAAGTCTACCTGGAGAAAGAGTGTGTGGACTGGCTCAACAAATTTAGAGAATATGGAGACGAGGCGCTCAGAAACGGCTGTGAGTAAATGTGTTTGTTAGGGGTGCACGATTCAGAAAATGTCACGATTCGATTCGATACCGATTTTTTGTCTCGAGATTCGATTCAAAATCGATTTTCGATTCAAAAACGATTCTCGATTCAAAAAACGATTCGCAGGTCTATATAAATGTAGTTTACTTTTTCCAATGTGATTGATTGCAGTAGACATAATTTAAAAGAAAAGTTTGATATTACTTTATATGTCTTCATACAAAAATAAAAACTTTTGCAACTAAAAAGTGCGAAGTGCCAAGCTTTGGCCAGCTTTTAAATACATTTAATTCAAGTTTAAAATAAAACTTAAATAAAAAGCTTTTACATTTAGATTCAAAGTGCTGCAGTCAGATCAAACAAACAATTATGCTAAATGTGGTTTAAGGAGTAGGCCTACTTCAGCTACCAGGTTGACTGTTGAAATGTGAACTCGATTGAGCACATTGAACTTCCTAAAAATATATACTAATTTCATAGAACCCTTGCGAAAATATTTTAAATAGATTTAAAAAAGCCACCGCTACTGGTAACATCTATGGTTAGATTGATTTGTTTAGATCCAGTGAAGTCGTTCATAGGCGCGTAATTTGCGGGTATCTCCAGTTAACTAGCAGAGCATTCATTTAGTTCACTATTAAATAAGAGACCTGTTATTTTTGAAATCAAGCTGAGCGCTCGTGTCCGCTGCGATCAGTGTCATGGATACAGTGTTCTCTGTGGCTCGCGTAGTCTTCTCTCGGACGCGCGCTTCAATCTATCGCCGTTGTGGAGACTCCGGTGAAATCACAAAATAAAATGCACACAAACGTGATGAACATATTCGGTTTTGATGAGAGAGAGAAAAAACTATACTATACGAGTGCGGTTTAGGACCCGTAACCTCTGACACGCTTGGCAAAAGATCTACAGAACTCAAACATAAGATCTGCGGATCGATGCATTTATTTACGGGTTGAGCAGAGTGGCTGCACCGTTTGACCAGCGGGCGGCAAGAACTTGCAATAACTATTTATCAGACCGGCCCTCGCAGCCTCGAAACCATAGAAACACTACCGGACCACCGGTAAAAGTCCCGACTCACCCGATTGCCACTCCGCCCCTGCACGCCATTAAAAAAATATAGCCTATATGAATCGATTTTTGGAATTCTATTAATCGATTCTGAATCGGTAAAGATTGAATCGCGATTCAAATGTGAATCGATTTTTTTGCACACCCCTAGTGTTTGTATTTGTTTGATCGGCAGCTGATGAATATGATTGATAAACAGATTTCTGTGTTTTCAGATCCTCCAGATGTTCATATATTTGCAAGGAGGTCTACCAGTGACAAAACCAAGCTGAAACTGACCTGTCTGGCCACCGGCTTCTACCCCAAAGACTTGAGGATGACCTTTAGGAAATATCGCACATCTCTGCCTGAAGATCAGATTGAATCCTCAGGAGTCAGACCAAACCATGATGGATCCTATCAGCTGAGGAAGAGTGTGGAGATCAAGGAGGATGAAAAAGCAGAATATGATTGTTTTGTGACCCAGAGAACCCTCAAAGAACCAATCATCGTCAAATGGGGTAATTAAAGCTACCATATTTCCCAATTTCTCACTCATTATTGTTTTTCGAATCCTGAAATTGTTCCCTAAAACTATTTTTATCTTTCTGCATGTGTACAGCTGGAGCATGCAAGGATTGCCAAGGAGTGGCTTTCATTGAGTATGATTGGATTGCAGTTGTGATTGGGCTGGCAGGTGTTGCTTTTGTGCTTTACATCTTAATGATGAAAATGATCACTGGTGAGTAGTGACTGATTAATGATGATCCACACAATACACTCCTCCTTTACGGTTTTGTGTTGTAAATGTGACGCGTGTCACAGTGAGAACATTTGAATCCTAGAGAGTTTTGGTTTGGGTTTAATCTGGTTCTTTGGTTTCACAAATCCCCATAATCCAAAGACATGCAGCTCAGGTCAATTGTGTGTGTGTGTGTGTGTGTGTGATGAGATGAAATGAGATTCATGATGCGGCCAGTTTATATTCTAGGCAGACAAATAAAGAGATTGTTCACTTCCAAAATAATAATTCTGTTTAAAAATACACTCACCTAAAGGATTATTAGGAAAACCATACTAATACTGTGTTTGACCCCCTTTCACCTTCAGAACTGCCTTAATTCTACGTGGCATTGATTCAACAAGGTGCTGAAAGCATTCTTTAGAAATGTTGGCCCATATTGATAGGATAGCATCTTGCAGTTGATGGAGATTTGTGGGATGCACATCCAGGGCACGAAGCTCCCGTTCCACCACATCCCAAAGATGCTCTATTGGATTGAGATCTGGTGACTGTGGTGGCCATTTTAGTTCAGTCAACTCATCGTCATGTTCAAGAAACCAATTTGAAATGATTCGAGCTTTGTGACATGGTGCATTATCCTGCTGGAAGTAGCCATCAGAAGATGGGTCCATGGTGGCCATAAAGGGATGGACATGGTCAGCTGGTAGGCTGTGGCATTTAATCGATGCCCAATTGGCACTAAGGGGCCTAAAGTGTGCCAAGAAAACATCCCCCACACCATTACACCACCACCAGCAGCCTGCACAGTGGTAACAAGGCATGATGGATCCATGTTCTCATTCTGTTTATGCCATCAGACCAGGCAACATTTTTCCAGTCTTCAACTGTCCAATTTTGGTGAGCTCTTGCAAATTGTAGCCTCTTTTTCCTATTTGTAGTGGAGATGAGTGGTAGCCGGTGGGGTCTTCTGCTGTTGTAGCCCATCCGCCTCAAGGTTGTGTGTGTTGTGGCTTCACAAATGCTTTGCTGAATACCTCGGTTGTAACGAGTGTTTATTTCAGTCAAAGTTGCTCTTCTATCAGCTTGAATCAGTCGGCCCATTCACCTCTGACCTCTAGCATCAACAAGGCATTTTCGCCCACAGGACTGCCACATGCTGGATGTTTTTCCCTTTTCACACCATTCTTTGTAAACCCTAGAAATGGTTGTGTGTGAAAATCCCAGTAACTGAGCAGATTGTGAAATACTCAGGCACCAACAACCATGTCAATCCTTTAGGTGAGTGTACAACCTAGAATATTCAACTGGCAATTATTGGTTCATTTTATTTCGCTTCCACAAATCCAGTGCTTCAAATTGGACAGAAGATTAAACATTAGACATTCGGGAACAGCAGGAATATCAATAGCTTGCCGATTGATAATCTGCTGATAACCCGTCTCACCAGCAGGGGGTGCATGTTTATTTCAAGTAGTGCAATTCAACAAGCTTTTTTGTTTCAAAAACATTTGTCATTATTTTACTTCCATACCTCTGTGTCCTCATAAGACCTGGATCATACAGTTATTCAAGTTAAACAGCAATATAGATCACATCAGAGATTTTGAACTGTGATGCTGATGCAGTATCTCACTTTTGTTTAAAATTTTCAGTGGGCAATTTAAAGAAAACAACAAAGAAGAAGAGACCCAGTGACAGTTCAATAAAACATCTGGAGGAGAAATACTACATGTAAACCGAGGAGGTAACTTTTTTTATACCACGAGTCTGTTAACTGCTTGGTTCTGATTGGTTGACAGATGAGGATCTGCATTTAATGCTGCTGTTAGCTCGGATGCTAATGTTTCTGACCCCGCCCTGTGCCAAATTATCATGTTTCATAACAGAGTTGTGTGTCAACATAACTTGGTCATTACTTAATGACCATGAAAAGCAAATCACTGAAATGGGGAACTGTGTAGGATTTGAGGGTGAACCGAACACAAATTAATCTTCCATGTGATTCATTCAAACAGAAATCAACACTCCAGACCTAAAATCAACATTCCAGAACCATAAAGATCCCAGCTTCAGCTAGTCTACGCTAGCCAACAAAACCCCCCAGAAAGAACTTTATAGCCCTGCAGGCTCCTAAGAGATGAGCCCAACTGGAAAACATTGTCAAAGTTCGATTGATTTGGTCAGTGATGGCACGGTTCGGGACCTCCCAAGATAACAGCAGAGAGTGTTTGATCCCAAGACAAAGGATTTAAAACAGACCACATCCTTCTTGAGGACCTCTGAACGACCCCAGGGCTGAAACCTCTTAAAACTAAAGAGACTGATTAAAACTAAATTTTCTTCTACAATGATAATTGTTATCAAGCTTGTATATTTAAGTTCAGTAATTTCACTTTAATTGCAATGAAGATTACCTATTAATTGTCATTTAAGAAAAATTACTGAACTTAAATTTACAAGCTTGATCTAAGTTATCATTCTAGAAGAAAATTTCAAATGGCTTTAGAGGCTTAGAGGCTTTTGCATCTGAACTCTTCATATATAAAATGCATAAAATCACCCCAAAACAATCCTTGACGGACTTATAATCAAACATCGTTCAACTACATCAGGGGTGCCCAAACTTTTTCCTATGAAGGGCCAAAAATCAAACTTGACCGTGGGCCAAAAGTAAATTTTGCATCATAAATCAAATGGTATTGTAAGACTGGAAAACTGGAACTGGTTAATGTAATCAGTGACCAGTGTCTTCTGAAGACAAGAAGACCTTGCTTGAACAACAAACACACACACACACACACACACACACACACACACTTGAAGAGGAAACTCATACAAGATGGTTTTAATGTGAATGTGATAATCTTTGTGAAGTGTTTGATATAATTTTGATGGTCTCAGGGTGACTGGTAATAATGTCTCATTCCCAAAGAAGTTAAAGAAAAGGCAATAAGGTTTTTAAGAATATAGAAATATCTTGCACACAAAAGGGTGTCTTTGAGTTAATCACCTTCTACCTTTTGTCTGAATGCAAACTCTCCTTCCCCCAGTAAGCATGGTGGGGGGTTTCAGTCCATTGTAGTTTGGTGATTGGATCAGGTAAATTTGGTGATTAGATCAGGTAAGGTTTGGCTCTATTTAAGGGAAATGCACAAGAGTTCAGGGCTGCTATTCTGTATCAGATCAGCCCATGATGCTGTGTCTTCGAGACTCAGCTCATGTAGTTAATATGTTGGGTAAAGTTTCCTTGTCCTAAACATTTGATGGTTTGCTCTGATTATCTTGTGGAACTGTAATAATACCTTTACTTGACATAATAAATTGTTATATTTGACTATTCTAACAACTATTCTAACAGACTTTGACTTTTTTTTTCATTAGAGTTAAAAGGAATAGTCGAGCATTAACATATTAAATGATGCACAGATTGATAAACCTTTTCATTTCATGGAATCAGATGAAACGAGTTAATGCATACGATTAAATGTGTTGCATTTAATTAAAATTCACTTTGCCTTAAAATTCAACCCCGCCATTTGGATCGATTTCGTGGCCCTTTTTACAGTATTATATTAAAGTTGCAATGGGTTTATTTATTTTATAATATTTAAAATATATTCAAAACAACTTCAATCTGATTAACTAATGCAATTTGCATTTTAAAGAGTGTATTACAATAAAACCAACAATCAAGTGTTCAATGTACAATACAGTTCAATGCCAAATCCACAAGCAATAATAAAACTATGTGGTTGCAATGTCAGTGACCTAATGAGAGATATGAAGCTGGTCCTTTTAAGCATGAGAGTCCTGCCAGTCCTGTTCCTGTCCCAAGTTAAATGAACTTTGAACGTTTCGTCATTGAATAGTCCGGCTGATTGGATTATCATCAATGTATGTGAATGAGACTGTAATGCTGATGAGATCAGTACTGGGGAAATGGGCTGACTCCTGTTCTTGATTTACATGCCACCACTAGGTAATCCCTCCCCCTTCAAATGTATATAAACTACAACATATAGCCTACTGCTTTAGTCAGACTTGATGACTGCAGCTACAGACAGCTCTGGCTCTCAATCAGGGCCAGTTCTATCCCTTTGGTTGCCCTAGGCGAGATTGATTTTAGCGCAGCAACATTACGATAGTGTAGATAAGTGTACAATGATTTATAATAATAATTTATTCTAGTGTCCAATCCATTTAATCAATTTAACATATTTAATATTGGGTGCATCCAAGTTATTTGACATGGGCCCATTTGAACTTTTTTAACGCATAGGTACTTTCCCTGGTAATTAGTTACTTTTATAATGATTTAATTCAGTTACTAACTCTGTGAGAATTTGTGAGAAGTAACTAGTAAATGTAACTAATTACTTTTTTAAGTAACATGCCCAAAACTGGTGATGAGTATTTATTAAACTACACAAAAATGCTATTATAATCACTCCAAAACTTCAACAAGTTGAAGGATCTGTAATGAATTGTTCATACAAATTCTACAAATAACGTTCAAGGATTTCTATCATCCTGCATAGTCTGGATTTTATCTGTGTAATGTAATGTAACTTGTAGATAAATTACAATTATTACCTGGCTGCCAAGGGGGTTTCGGAGTCCCCAATGTTGTACATTTTAATTCATTTTTAAATCGAATTTAAATGTTAAATTCATCAATCTGGTGCAATTCAGTGTGCAAATTGAACAAAGAAAAATTCAAACCTCTATTAGTTACAGTGTCTGTCTATATTACACTTCAACATAATGGGCTATAGCTATTGTAAAACAAATGCAATGAAAATTAAAAGAAACTTTCATAATTAGTTCATAATTACAAATTTCTATCCTTATAAGTAGCCTGCTATAGACTTGGAAGCAACTCAACGCCGCCAATTAAGCAAAACAAAACGAATGGGCTGCCAATGTACGAGTTTTATGGGCCGTTAAGACAAAAAAAATAAAAATAAAAGTAGGCTATGAGATGTCTCAGCCCAAAAAGCACGTCGGTCACTGGGAATCTCAAGTAGGCTACACCGGGAAGTAATGTTACATTTATTTTGTTTGTCACTTTAAAGGTTCTCTAAGCGATGTGGGGCCAAAACATTTTTTGTCACATACATCAAACGTCTCCTCACTATCGGCTAGCTGCCTGTCCCCTAAACACACTGTAAAAAAACGCGGTCTCTGTAGACACCACAGGCTCCACAAACGGCAACAAAAACAATCATGTCTCACCCGGACCTCGAAACCTAACAAACAGTGTTCCAGGCCAGCCAATCACTGGCAAGAAGTATCTGAGGGTGGGTCTGGGGGGTTAGTGCGCGTGCACATGAAGGGTGTGTGTGTGTGAAGGAGAGAGAAGTATCAGAGGGAAGTTTGAAAAATGGCCGACACACGACCAAAGAGACGTCGTTCTGAGGAACAAATTAAAAAGAAGAAGGAGTCGGATAAAGAACGTGCGAAGTTCTGAATTTACATCGGTAGCAAAGCTTTTGAACAATGGCGAGAACTCCGGCAGCAGAAGGGCTTAAAGTCCGACATTCAGGTTGCTCTGTTTTTGCTGGACAGGTGGGTAACGTTAAAATGTTTTTTTTTTTATTCTAAATTGACGCTTATGTTCGCCAAACCCACACAAGGATATAATTAGCTAGAACTATGCAGTCAGCGAAATGCACGTTCACAATTACTTCAGGAAGCAGGGAAGGGAGGGGAAGGAGATGAGATGCGGAGGAGGGAGGGTCTAGCTAGCCTCCGATTTGTTTGAAAATATTCCGAATGTCAACACCCAGGATCGCTCAGAGAACCTTTAATGGCTGAGATGAGAAGGCTTGTGGAGTGCAAAAAGGAGTAGACTGGAGATGGGAATGCGTTGAGTTAGCTTTACTCTCCACTTCAATAATACAGAACTACACAACAGTCAAATCGACACAACAACTTCACCCCGGAACTAACAACTGCCTCCTCCTCTCTTAAAGGTATATTTTTTAGGTGAATGTCTCGCAGTGTTATTTGTGGGTCACCACACAGGCCCCCCCAGAATTCACCCATAAACAAGTCCAAAACAAACGGGCACCCCCAACAGAACATAGGGCGCTATTCACCAGTGCAAAACAGAACAGTCCAGGTCCGAACAGTCTTTAGAAAAGTCAACGCATAGGGGGGCGGACCGGGCGGCCATACCGGCTGCGCTTCACCAAAGAGGGGCCAGGGGCTTGAGGCGGGGCAGGTACCTGGTTCGAGGCCTCCGCAGGGGGGCGCCCCCGCCGTGGGGGCAGGGCCAACTGCAGGGGTTCGCCAATATCCACATGAGCAGGCTTAAGCCGGTCTATAGCCACCCGCTCAGGCCTACCTCCCATATCCACCACAAAGTTCTTAGACCCTCCCGTCAGGACACGGAAGGGCCCATCATAGGGGGGACGCAGTGGAGTACGATGTCCGTCGTGGCGGATGAACACATACTTGGCTGATGGTAAATCCTTGGGCACGTAGGTCTGGGGGAGGCCATGGTGCGACGTTGGAAGAGGAATAAAAGCGTTGGCAATGTCCCGAGACACAGTACGATGGGAGTCAACCGACCACGGGGCAGTTGCATCTGGAAGAAACTCCCCCGGGACGCGCAGAGGCTGGCCGTACACCAACTCTGCCGATGAGGCTTGAAGATCCTCTTTGGGGGCAGAACGAAGGCCAAGCATAACCCATGGGAGGCGGTCAGCCCAGTCGCTACCTGTGAGGCTGGCCCTGAGCGCGGCCTTCATGTCCCGATGGAACCGCTCGCAAAGTCCGTTGCTCTGGGGGTTATAGGCTGTGGTACGGTGGACCTTCACTCCCAGGACCTCGGCGACCGCATTCCAAAGCTCCGACGTAAACTGCGGACCTCGGTCCGAGGAGAGGTCAGACGGCGTACCGAAACGGGCCACCCAAGCCATAATGAACGCCCGTGCCACCTCAGCTGATGTAGTGGAGGCCAGGGGCACCACTTCCGGCCATCTGGTGGTCCTGTCCACCATGGTGAGGAGGTAGGAGTAACCACGGGAGGGGGGAAGTGGGCCCACCAGGTCCACATTCACATGATCAAAACGCCTCTCCGGCACTTTGAAGGTTGCCAAAGGGGCCTTGGTATGACGAGTCACCTTTGCGCGCTGGCACGCCACACAGGAAGCAGCCCACGCCTTGACGTCCCTCCGCAGGCCTGGCCAGACGAACTTGGCCCCCACCAGCTTGGTCGAGGCCTTCACCCCTGGGTGGGAAAGACCGTGTATAGTGTCAAACACCTTACGTCTCCAGCCAACAGGTACCATGGGGCGCGGTTGTCCAGTGGAGACGTCGCAGAGAAGTGTAGAGTTGGCAGTGTCAAACACCACATCCTCCATGAGCAGCGCTGTGGGAGCCGTCCTGTAGGCTTGCACCTCAGAGTCCGCGGTT